TTTTTTGGTCTTTTTGAGACAAGGTCTCACTATGCAATTCAGGCTGGCCTTGAGCTTACTTTGTAGCCCAGGCTGGCCTCGAACTTACAACATTCCTCCTGCCTCAGCCTCCTGAGTGCTGGGATTACAGACATGTGCCACCACACCCGGCTCCCAGTATTTCATTTTTAACAACAACAAAAAAGAGGTTTGGAATAGAACTCCTCAATGGCCAGATTTGGGTGGATTGGCTCTTTCATCTATTTTTTTTTTTTTTTCCTTTGGTAGCATTGGGAATTGAACCCAGGGCCTTCACACTGAGCTACATCCCCAGTACATTCTATGTTTTTTATTCTGGGACAGGATTGCTCTCTTTTTTAAAAAAATACGATCTTTCATTTTCTTTAGCTGCTACAAATATGCACCAATAAAGAATGAAAATGCATTCCTTGTGGGGAGTTGGTACACATACACAACATATTTTAATTCTTTTTACATTCCCTTGCCCTTCCCTCCTTCTGTCCTCCCTCTATGTCTTGGTCCCCTTCCCATTTGCAGAAGATCCACCTCCCTGTTTCCTGTTATCTATCATTTATTTTCCTCTTGGCTTATACTTTAGGTTTCTCATATAAGAGAAGCCATGTGATAATGAAGCTTGTGTGTCTGCTTTGTTGCACTTAACATTATGGCTTACACAGGCTGAGTTGCCCAGGCTGGGCTTGAACTTGTAATCCTCCTGCCTCAGGCTCCTTCATCTAAGGCATTTGGGTTCCATGTCTCAGAAGATGCCACAGTCTTAACAGTGCTAGTCCTGGAGGGACCCAGGTCCAATGTCCTGATCTTCTCTGATGTCTCCATGCTGGGCAGGCCTGCTGTTCTGCATAGCCCTCATTTTAGGCCTGGCTCCAGAGAGTGGCTAGGCAGGGACGTGGTTCTGGGTCCCCTATCACAGCCTGGGAGAAACCTGCCCCTGTTACCATTTCCTGTGCTGGGTGGGTCTCTTGAGTCCATCTCTGATTTACACTTCTCCGGCCTTGCTCCAGAGTCCCAAGCCCATGTGTGAGCCCAGTCTCCAAGTTTTCTGCCTTTCAGAAGGAGCAGAAGCTTCATGAAGGTGACTCTCAGAATGGGGGACACTCAGAATGGGGCGTAGGAATCCAATCCTTCAGCTTTGCTATTAAAAAACTGGACAAGCAGTGTGGAAAGCTGTTCGGCAGTTTCCATGAGCACACCTGCGTTAGGATTTTGGTACCGGAATCAAGTAGCAAAGACTGATCTCGGCTCATGGCTTCAGAGGGTCCAGGCCATGGCCAGCTGCCTCAGGTGTGTTCAGACCTCCGAGGAGGCAGAAATACCTTGGTGGAAAGCCTGGCAAAGGAAAGCTGCTCAGCTCACGGCAGCCAGGAAGCAGAGCAAAAAGGGAAGAGCCCGAGAGGAAGGCTGAGGACCAGATCCAGCCCCCAGGGTCACAGCACAGTGCGCCACGGCCTCGGCTGGGCCTGCGTTGTCTCCGTCACCACCCGATAATGCCGTCCAACTGTGATCTCACCCAGGACTGCTCCACTGGTGAAGGTAGAAGCCTCGGGTCCCAAGCACTTGCCCAAAGCCCATCCAGTGTGAGCCCAGCCCTGGGCTGACACAGGAGGACGGCGAGTGTGAGCCCACTATGGGCAGCTCAGCCCGACCTTGCCTTGAATGAAAAAATGAAAAGTACAGGAGACGCAGCTTGGAGGCAAGCGCTTACCTAACACTGGGGAGGCCTTGTACTAAAAAAAAAGAAATGAATAGATGCTAAATTACATAGTGTATGTCTTTTACCACAACTTTTTTCATTTTCTTTTTGTTTTTTTGGTTTTTTTGAGACGGGGTCTCACTATACTGTTCAGGCTGACCTTGAACTCACTATGTAACACAAGCTGGCCTTGAACTCATGAAGATCCTCCTTCCAAGTGCTGAGGTTATATGTATGTGCCACCAGGCCTGGAGAACTTAATTTTTTAAAAAATCAAGACAAAGTCTAATCTATGAAAAAAGAACTGAGAAAAAGAAGTTGTTTCTGGAAATATGGACAAAACTGCCAAAGGATAGAGGAACCTTTCCAGGGAGGCAAATATTTCTTTCCTTTCTGGGCAGGCCTTGATTTCATGGTTAGCTGCACTGCCCAAAAGCCTTGGGTTATATACATTTTATCTGGGTGCATTTTACCATAAATACACCTTCATTTACTAAAGAAAAGAGTGGTCCAGGAAGCAGTTGCCCCCATTGTCCAGGAGTCTCCTAGGTCCTATCATTCCCATGCCAGACTCCCTGCCTTCCTGTCCCGTGTGGTGATCAGCCTGCCCCACACCCCTGCACCTGCGCATTCCCACTGCCTAGCGCCTGCCAGCTGCAGGCTCCCAGGCCCACAGGGCTGCCCACTTCCACCTGGCCCCAAGGATCGGCCCTTCCTGCGTCAGCTGCTGGACTCCATCCTGGCTGCCACCCTCACATCCTGGCACCTGTCCCTGCTCCCCATGACCTGGGCACTGCCTCCTCCATGATGCACTTGGCTACTTCCCCAAACTGAGAAGACCCTGAGTTCAACCCCCAGTACTGAGAAAAATAGTAGTAATGATGTAATTTCTTAGCTGGTGGTGGTGTGTATTTGAATTTTTTAAAAATAGGCTCTCTCCCCTTCTAAACCCCACCCGTTTTCCCATGTTACTGCCAAAGGCAGGACTTGTGTTTTGTCTGGTCTATTCCAGGAGGGTGTGGCAAGCTGGTGGACAGCACAGCTGACCTGTTCCTGAGGGATGGGCTCGAGCAGGCTGAGCCTCACTGCATCTGGTGTGGCCATCTGTCTCTGTCGTAGACCATCTCCAAAACTGAGCACAGGGCATGAACAGGAAATTTGTTCAAGGCAAATACAAAGGGCGACAGAGTGGATTATGTGGGAGATGTTTCTAGCAGTCATATGAGACCCAGACCACGAATCTTTCCAACTGCAGAGAGAGAAGTGAGTAACCTGCCCAGAGCTCCACAGTCGCCCCACACCAGGAACTTTTAGTCACAATGCAACGGAAATGAAACCTGGCCACAGAGTATCGACTTCCTGAGCCATCTGGGGGCTTACCCTGCATCTGGCAGTCTCTTCCCCCAAATTACACCGTGCTCCCTACATCCCAGCTTCTGGGAGAGGTCCCACCCTGTCTCCCAGGACCGGAACCAGGTCTCCCTGCTCCACATTCCCTTGTGACTCCAGCCTCTCTCAGATTTTAATATTTTTTTATTTTAAAGAATAAAAAAGTAAAAAAAAATTAAAAGCAATACAGAATTTCAAAACAAGATGATAAGAAATCAACAATGGTTATTATATTGCCTATTGTTATCTTCAAAGTAGTTGTTCAGATTAACAGATATAAGTGTGTAAAACTGACCAAAAAATTAAGCATTAACTAATCCTTTTAATAAACCAATAGAAATTAGTAGTACAATTCAGAATTCACTTCTGAGACAGGATCTCACTATGGAGTCCAGGCTGGCCTTGAACTCACTGTGTAGCCCACCTTGGCCTGGAACTGTCAACAATCCTTCTGCCTCAGCCTAAGTTCTGGTATTACAGGTGTGGGCCTTGACACTTGGCTTAGTCATGAGCTAATAGCAGGGCCCCTGCACGTCCACGGGCCCACCTCCAGGGCCCCAGCTGTGAATGGGCAGCTCGTCCCTGCGAGCCACTCTGTCTCAGCCCAGGTGACAGCCGCAGAGTGCTGGAGCCTTCCCCGAGCCTCCCTGGGCTCTCAGGACCATGGGGCCAGGCTTGGTTCCCAAACTGCTCCCGGCTTCATCTCACCACCCAGGGGCTCTGAACAGCAAACACCAAATATATTTCACGTACCCAGACCACGAGGGTTGAGGCTGGACTCCAAGGGGGCTGTGGAGAAGGCCACGGTCAAGGCCCTTGGTCAGCCTCACCTCTGCCCTTGGTCCTGAGCTCAGCTGTGGGTGCAGCTGCTGCCATCCCAGGCTGTGGTGCCAGCCCTGTTCTGGTACATTCTGTCTGCTTGGGCTCGTGGCCACAGAGGGATCACCGCCCCAAGGTCTCAGATGACGCTTGGCGTAGAGGATACAAATAGTGGGGAGGCCTGGCTGGCGCCTGCACCCTATGGCTGGAGCTCCATGGGCTCCTCTGGCTCCTCTGGGGCTGGGCCCCGCTGAGCACGTTCCTTGGAGGCACGGCCGGCAGAGGCAGGAAGGCTGCTCCTCTTGCTCCCAGTTCTGCTACTCAGTCCCCATCCCCCTTGGAACCGACATGTCCACAATGGCGAACCAGGGAGGACGACACAAGGCCACATTCTCCTGCCCAGGCATAGACGCCACCCCAGAATGTGGCACTGCCACCCCATTCCCCTGCCCCACGCCCAGCAAGCCCAAGGCCCCAGGGGAGGAGGCAGACACTCAGAGCTGTGCCGAGGCCTTGCACCCTGTGCAGGGACAGAGAGGACAAGTCCAGACAGGAAATCCTCTGAGCAGTCAGCGATGACCTTGTAGGCAGCGGTGTCTCGGGCCCTCTTACACTCCTGGTCACCGAGCCCGCACTGTGTGCCAGGCACAGAACAAGCGCTGTCCCTGCCGACCTGTCCTGTGTCCTTACACCCACCCGAGAGAGGGCAGCTGTGAGATCCCCATTGCCTGGATGAGGAAACCGAGTCTCTGAGCTCAGCGGCTGAGCCAGCCCGCAGCTGGACGTGGGAGCCGGGGTCACAGCCACAGAGCCCGGCCAACCTGCTCCGCCTCCGCCCCTTTGCCTCTCCCTGCTGAGGGCCCAGGCGTGCGAGTCCTCTGCATCCCGGTGCCCGGCACGGGTCACACTGCGATGCCTGTGGGGACTCCTGAGCTGGGCAGGAGTCAGGACCTTCTCAGAGGAGGGGACAGGGGAGCTGGGCAGGTGGGGTGGGAGGAGGCTGGGGGAGAGGAGGTGGCATCTGGAGACCCCAAGTCAACCTCAGCCTCCACCTCTCCCGCCCAGGATGTGGGGTCCCGCTATCCGCGCCCTGCTGAGAGGCCTGGCCAGGGTCTTCGATGGTGAGCGCACTGTTCCTGGCCCCTGAGCCCGGCGGGTATCCCTGCAGGTGACACAGGGGCCCTGGGATGCCGCCCAGGTGGCAGCGTGACCCTCCCCTCCTTGCTGCTCAGGAGAAAACTAGCCGTCACTTCTGCACGGGCGCCCCCATCCCCCGGACTGGATGTTCACCGCCCCCACTGCAGGGTCAGGTGAGCGGGTGGCCCAGGCTCTGAGTCCAGCCCAGGGGTGGACCAGGTGGGAGGGCAGTGGCCCCAACTGTCCCCAACCCCTCCTGTCTCCGTGCCAGGACGTGACATGGTGGTGGCTGCAGTTTGACCAGGGCTCTGATGAGGCCGTGCAGCTCCTGAAGATCACAAAGGTACCAGGCCCGAGGACAGGAGTTTGGGGACAGGAGCTTGACGCCAGGAGATGCGCAGACCCCGCCGCTCCTGAGGTCTCACTGGGCTTGTGGTTGTCACCCTCCGGTTATGACAACCCCGATGACAACCCGTTCACCTTCTCCAGTGACATCGCCCTGCTGAAGCTGGTCACGCCTGCCGCTTCGCACAGAGTGTCTGCCGTGTGGCTGCCCAGCGAGGACCAGGACTTCCCATGGGGAGCTGTGTGCTACCACGGCCTGGGCAAGACCAGTCACACTGGTGAGACCCGGCTGGGCACTATGGCCGCTGACCCCTCACCCTGCCCTGCCGGACACCAGCACCCCCTACAGGCTGCAGGAGGTGGTCGTGCCCCTGGTGTCTGCACCCACTGCAGGAAGTTCTGGGGCAGCCTGGTCACTGATGTGAAGATCTGCACCAGGGCCAGAGGCGTCTCCTCCTGCTCAGCATGGCCTCTGGGCTGTGCCCACGCCCTCTCCCATCCCATCGTGGGCTCCTGAAGGCACAGCCTAGGCCAGATCTTGGGCAGAGACAGAGGAACAAAAGTCCTAAATAGTCCTCTCCCCTCCCAGGACCCTCCTACCCCGTTGCCAGGGAGACAGGGCTCCTGGTGAGTGGGTGGCGCCTCCTGGAGTTGTGCAGTGTGCACTGACTGCACTGTGGAACACGGCGAAGGCCCTTCCTCCCCCACAGCGGCCCCATGGCCAGCCCCACCTGAACTTCCTCTTTTAGTCAAACCAGCTTATTGCACTTCTATGATGGGCTCAGCCTGGGGGTGGCTGACTTCCAAGGAGGTGAGGACTTTCACACCTCAGGTGCAGGCCCTAAGTTGGGGTGGGAACCAGGTGCAGAGGCCCGGGGTGGGGGGAGGGAGTCTGGTCTGCCCATCACAGCCTCTCCTCTCCCACAGTGAGACCCTGGTGGCCACCAGAGTGGCCCGTATGCCAGAAGGACAGAACCTGGACCCTGGTGGGCATCACGTCCTGGGGCAGTGACACTTGCTCCACCTCCTCTCTCGCCAGGTACACCCGCATCACTGCCTTCCTGCCTGGGTGCAGCAGATCCTGGGGGCCAGCTGACCCCACAGACCCACCCTGCGCCCCTGGGCCTGATCCCCGCAAAGCCTCAGTAAATCCAAGGTGCATGTCACCTGTTTGAGGGGCCTCTAAGGCTTCGTTGTGCTCCTGAACTTGGCCTTCACCAGGCTGGCCATGGTCAAGCTAGTGGTGTGGGTCACTGGGGTCCACTCATTGGTTGCCTCCCCACCACTTGACTCTAGCTCCCTGCGTGGGCAGTAAGGACTCAGGCAGAAGTGGGCATAGGAGGGGATAGCATGATTTTAGTGGGGGCCTAGGTTGACTTCATTATAGATAGCTAAGTTATTTAGAAATATCATAGGCAGTCAGACAGGGCTCGGTCCTCTTGAGGTCAGTACAGAAGACAACTGTGGGTGGAGGTGCATTCACTGAAGGTCAGTCCACAGGATAAAGAGGAATGACTGCACACATATATTTCCCCTAGGGATGAACAGCAATGATTAATATTCTAAGTAGGCATCAATCACCTTTGTGGGGGACCTTAACCTCCTTCCAGGAAAGTCCTTGTTATTTCCATGTATGCTTTGCATATAGTTTGCTTCCCCATTTGTTCCCCTAATCAGCATTACCTAAGTGACTATACTTGTTGTAATCTTATTGGTTCACCATATTTTTGTCCCACTTCTCACCCACCCTGTGATTTCCCTTTGGATCTATATTACCTAAGCAACCGCACTTGCAATCTTATTAGTTGGCAATATTTGTGTCCCACCTTGAACCTGTCTTACCTTGTGGCTTTGCTTAATAAAACACCCTTGAGAAGTTAGGGCTGGGGATATAGCTCAGTGGCATAAGTGCCAGCCTGGGAAGCATGAGGTCCTGAGTTCGATTCCTAGTACCAAAAAAAAAAAACAAAAAAGAGAGAAGTGGAGTTGGTGGACAGTCCACTTTTTGGGCCCTCTTCTGTCCCTCTTAGAAGCTTTTTTTCCTCTCAATTAATTCTTCCTTAACTTCCACCTTTCCTAGAATTCTTTCCTTGATTTTAGAGAACACAAACTTGGCATTTTGGGCATCTAGCAAGTTGGGAGTTATAAAACTTCCCTTATATTATTTGCAGATCCTTATATCACATGACCTATTTTATTTGGGGGTCCCACCGAGATAACTGGATGGAGGTAAGAGTTTGCTTTTGTTTCATAGAATCTAGATTGTGACTTGCATTGGTAATTCAAATTTTTATGCTTTAAATTTTATGTCTTTGTCGATTGCTTAGGGTTTTCTTAAATGATGATAAATTTGAGAACATGAGAAGGTTATGATACTTCTTCAATGGGATATTTTATTCCTGTTTTGTAAATGTTGCTTTTGGACTTAGTTGCTGAATTTACTAGTGTTCCTTGTTAGACCTGACTTGTGATTCAGCTCAGACAATAGCGCTAAGAAAAAGTAGTATTATCGCGCCCCCTAGAGTACATTGACATAAAATGCTATAAAATGCTCTTTTTATGAACTCTAGTTCACATTTAGAAAATATACATGCCTATTAACAAATCATGGAATTACTTTTAAAAAAATCATGGGACCCCTTCCACCAGCTAAAAAGCGATAGGTTTGTGACTGTTCTTAAGACAGGGGAGACAAGTTTCACTGAGTTAAACTGGCCCTATCATTCTCTGCACTCTAGAGAAAATGTTGAGCCTGTTTTGCCTCAGTTTCCTTTCTGTTCTCTTCTGCTGGTGAGGAGACAATCTCTTCTGATCTTTCTCTGCCACTTTGTACTTTCCTTTTTTGGAGGCATGTAAGGTTAAAGAGAGAGGAACTCAAAACTGCTCTGACCTTTTCCTCCTACCCAGCAACTAAGAACCTTTAAGTTAAGTCTGTGGAAAATGAGCATTTACTAATGCCAAAGACAGGGAAGTCATTTTAGATGAGGGACACATAACCCAGTGTCTGGGTCAGATGAGACATCAGAATTTTGGCCATCCACGAGAATACACATACAAGCCATGTCTGAGCTTAGTGTTCTGAGCACCAGTCTTCCTTAGGAGACTGAACCTGAGACCCTATGGAAAGAACCAACTTCTGGGTAAAACCAGAAGGAGCTATTTTCCCAAGCACAATACTTAAGGATCCAAAACACATTTAGCCTAAGGGAGAATCTCCAACCTTCTCCCTCCCCTCCTAGTTCTGATTCTCATCATTTACGTGTATAGGAGAGGAAAGTACTTTGGTAATAAGTTATAAACTTTGAAACTTTTACTGTAAACTTACAAAATGCTATACAATTTTTTTTGTATTTTAGACAGCTTGGATATTTGTCTGTCCTTTATAGAAGTTTAACAAATAGGGGTCACACTGCCAGATACTTAAATGTTCTTAGAGCAGCTGCAACTCCTAAAGCAGAGGACAGGTTTCCCCAGTACATTCTGGTGAATCACCATGGAAGCCAATGGCCAATGGAATGTTCAATCTTCAATCACCATTGAAGCCAATGACCAGACAGACAGCTGGCTTCCTTTCCAGAGACTGATCTCTGGTTGTGTGGACCAATGGAAACCGAGAAGACCATGGAGGGGTCATGACCAGGTCTACTCTCTGGTGCATATGTAAAGGTTCCTTGGCGGAAGCTGAGTCCCAATAGCCCAACTGGGTCATCAGCAGAGAAATCTTTACTGATCTATTGTATTTCTCTCTCTCTCTGCTAGTAAGTTAGAAACTCCCTTTAAGTTTTTCTCTAACTTGCTAGGACTTAACTTTAGAACAACTTTGTCCTTAAACCACTCCTCACTCCAGAAGTTGGGCTGAGGCATCTTGCAATAACTGTTTGCCTTTCATGGAGGAAAGTGGCTATCAGGAGAACAGTTTACATCTGTGTCTTGCATGTGCTAATCAAGAGTAGGAAAGAGATTTTAGTCAGCCTTTTTGTTTTTTCATGTGCACATAGAAGACTGATAAATGTGCCTTTACTAACATGTGACTTGTGATGGCTAGGTGATGGATATAAGTTTAACCTGTGAGCTTCAGAGATGTAAAAATCTTAAAATGGACTTTAAAAAGCACAGCTTTGTCTTGCACTAGAAAAGGGTGCTGGGGTGATTAGGTAGATAATAGGAGTATCTTGGAGACTTCTTCACCCTAGGGCCCAGTTTTTCTCTGAGCCATATTTACCTGACTCTGTCTCTAGATGTGATCTCGTTTGCAGGTTGAGAAGTACTCCAGTTATTTCCAACTCACTTTTTGATATTTGTCCTCTCTTTCAAAGAACTAAAAGGCAATGTATTAATGCCAAGCATTGCTTCTTTCTTTAAACATGACTGTTACAGTTGAGGTCAATTGTAACTTGTGCTTTTAAAAAACACCTGCTTGCTGGGGGTTAGCACAGTGGCAAAGCACATGCTCAACATGTGTGAGGCCCTGGATTCAATCCCAGCACATACACAAAAAAAGCCTGGTCTAAAAAAACACCTGCTGAAGTTAAGGGTTCAAGTACCATTAAGAAATAACGCTTACTTATGTTCACATGTAAATGTAAGCCTAAACCATCCAATATCTCTGAGCCTGAGGCCACTCTTCCTTGATCTTTGGAACCTAAAGAGGAGGTTTCCAAAACAACTTTAATCAAAGCCTCACCCACTATTACTGGGTCTAAGGCTTCCCTACTTGCCCTTCAGGTCCTGAGGGTAGAGCTTCTAAGCTAGACATAGCTAAAGCCTTCCCTGGGCTTTATCCTTCACTAGCTGATTTTGTTCAAGCTCCTCAAGGACAGTATCCCTTATAGGAAGTAAGTGGGGAGTTTGGAGCTACCCATATTCATGCGCCCTTCTCACTCAGTGACCTAAAACAGATCAGGAAAGATCTAGGAAAGTTTTCAGATGACCCTGATAAGTACATTGAGGTCTTTAAAAGACTTACTCAGACCTATGAACTAGACTGGAAAGATGTAATGTTACACTTAAATCAAAGATTGACTTCTAATGAGAGACAATGGGAACAGACTTTAATCTGTGAGTGTAAGTATATTACAGATACATATTTTTACCTGGGTTTGAATAGAGCCAAGCCAACACTGCTGTGGACACTGCCTATGTGACTGGACAGAGAACTCACAATGTTTCAAAGACCTCTGTCCTAGGGCAAGATTTCTTCTGGACTATTAGTTGTCTCTTTCTGTCCCCAGAGGTGACAGATCTTTTTTGCAGATGGGGATTTTAGAACTTTTTATTCAGAGTCATTTATTAGAAACTAAGCCCTAAACAGTATACTTGGAGCACTTTCATTTTTTCTCTCTCATTCTCTTTCAAAAGGTTACAAAGCACCCATTCAGGTTCTTTGATTATCAGCTTAATTTTCTGTCTGGCAGTGCAGTTGGAGTCAGTCATGGCTTTTGTCTCTGGATGCATGTTTTGCTAAGGATTAGAGACCCATCCTGGGAAAGCTCAAGCTCTTAATTCTGCACCTGAGAT